TTTACCAAACTGTTAAACACCGGCTGTTCGATGTGATATGATAATCATTGACTGATATTTACCAAACTGTTAAACACCGGCTGTTCGATGTGATATGACAACCATTAACTGATATTTACCAAACTGTTAAACACCGGCTGTTCGATGTGATACGATAATCATTGACTGATATTTACCGAACTGTTAAACACCGACTGTTCGATGTGATACGATACTCAATAACTGATATTCACCGAACTGTTAAACACCGACTGTTCGATGTGATACGACAACCATTAACTGATATTTACCGAACTGTTAAACACCGACTGTTCGATGTGATACGATACTCAATAACTGATATTCACCGAACTGTTAAACACCGACTGTTCGATGTGATACGACAACCATTAACTGATATTTACCGAAATGTTAAACACCGACTGTTCGATGTGATACGATAATCATTGACTGATATTTACCGAGCTGTTAAACACCGACTGTTCGTTGTGATATGACAACCATTAACTGATATTTACCAAACTGTTAAACACCGACTGTTCGTTGTGATACGACAACGATTGACTGATATTTACCGAACTGTTAAACACCGACTGTTCGTTGTGATACGACAACGATTGACTGATATTTACCGAACTGTTAAACACCGACTGTTCGATGTGATACGACAACCATTGACTGATATTTACCGAGCTGTTAAACGATGAGTGCTATTTCTGTATGTGTGAATATGTGGCAGTTGATATAGAACTAGCATTTTAAACATACGTTAGACGTGTGTATCATACTCAACCTTAAAGTGTTCATTCATACTAAATAACAGAACCTTATAACGTTAGACGTATGTATCATACTCAACCTTAAAGTGTTCATTCATACTAAATAACAGAACCTTATAACGTTAGACGTGTGTATCATACTCAACCTTAAAGTGTTCATTCATACTAAATAACAGAACCTTATAACGTTAGACGTATGTATCATACTCAACCTTAAAGTGTTCATTCATACTAAATAACAGAACCTTATTATGTGTAAAATATCCAGAATAGTTTATTACAGTTTGTGTGAAGTATCTGGAAGATTTTATTACAGTCTGTGTGAATTATTCAGATTAGTTTGTTACAGTTTGTGTGAACTATCCAAATTAGTTTGTTACAGTCTGTGTGAACTATCCAGATTAGTTTGTTACAGTCTGTGTGAACTATCCA